CTTCTGCCTTTTAATCTTTGCATTCACTTGTTTATTCATTCAGCAAACAGTCTGAGTTCTTCCTATGTACAAGATAGTGCTATAGCAGAGGCTAAAGATACAACAGAGACCCTGACAGACACAGTTGCAGGTGTAGCTGATGCCTTAGGACTCAGAAGCTCTGGAGGAGCGTGCCCACCTCAGGTGCCCCGTGGAAAGGACCATTACTGCTCTGAGTCCCTGACCATCAGTTTTCTTGGACTAGGAAACCTGCTTTGGGTAAGGAGAATAGGAAGAAGAATTCTTCCTGGACTAAAGGCCTGGACCTATCAACTCATACCTTAAATGGTTTTGCCTTCCCTGAGAGCTCTTCAGCACCAGGAATCTAGATCCACTCACTGAGTGACCTTGTAGAATTTTCTAAAACTAAACACATTTACACAAACCACACAGTCTCCCCCTAGTTGGATAAGAATTTGTTTCTTTTTAAAAGCTATCCTCGCTGGGCTCACGCCTGTAATCCCAGCACTCTGGAGGCTGAGGCAGGAGGATCTATGTGAGTTCAAGGCCAGCCTGGGATACAAAGTGAGCTCAAGGCCAGCCTATACTGCACAGCCAGACCCTGTCTCAAAAAGACAAAAAAAAAAGGCTACCCTCAATTTGTACTAAGTAGACTGATGGGCTAGGAAGCCTGAGAAGCCAGCTGGTTTGTAGAGTTGTGAGGCTGCCAGGGAGCATTCTTCATCCCCACGCTGCTCCTCTTTGTTCCTCAGCTTCCCCACTCTGGGACGCGGATGGGGACTAACTTCCTTCTCTCACCCCCATAGCGAGTCCCTTCTCGTGGCCCAGCTTCATCCAGCTAGCCGTGTAAGGAGCTGGGCTAGGGAAAAATTGAACATTCCTCAACTGTTGAAGTGTTGTTCAATCCAGAAATAAGTTCTTATCCTTTTCATATCAGAAATTCTGAACTAATATGCTGGCAATTAATATTTATTGTGGCTGACAATAAACTTTCCTAGCTGGACTTGGTGGCATACACCTGTAATCCTAGCACTCAGAAGGCTGAAGCAGGAAGATCACTGTGAGTTTGAGGCCATTTTGGGCTATAGAGCAAGACCCTGTCTCAAAAAAAAAAAGGGAAAAGAAAGCTTTCCTTATATGTAATTGAATAAACAAACCAATAGTACCAAAAAAAAAAAAAAAAAAAAAAAGAATGCTTATAGAGTGTAGAAATGTTGCTGTAAAGACAAAATTAAAACCGGATAATTAAGATTTGGCAAAACATTTGTTTTTTGGTGGTGGGGATGGAGTTCAGGGCCTCCTGTATGCTGGGCAAATAATATGCCACTCAGGGAGCAAAAGTGTTTAAAGTAAACTATGTATGGCTAAAGAAAAAGAATTTTGACAAAATAGTACATTTGGTAAAGTCAATGAATTGGTCATTTGACAAAGACTTATGGAAATGCCAAACTGCAGGGAAAACAAATTAACTTAAAAATATGTTCAAAATTAATCATTATAAGCTAAGAAACTTCCATGTGAACCACTAAACTGTTTATTATATCAACCAGGATACAATCATAAGAAAATAAAGCCATACTAAGATCCTTGTCTATTTTTTAAACATTCACCTGAATAAAAGTTGTAGAATAGCACAAAGAATACTCATTAACCCTTCACCTAATTTTACTGATTATCAAATTTTTGCCACATTTACACAAATACACAGCTAGGTAAACTTATTATTTGTTGTTGTTGGACAATTTGAGAGGTTAGAGATCATGATTTTTTAGACTATATCATTGAAAGTGTTCTTTAACCCAAAAGCTTTTTAAATAATGCTTTTTAGGAATATAGGTAGCTGCAAAATCGAATCATACACAAGGATACGGACATGGTGGCTCATGCGTAGAATCAGTATCTGGTAGCCTGAGGCAGGAGGATGGCTTGAGTTTGAGGCTAGCCTGGGCTACATAGTGAGTTCAAGGCCAACCTGAACTACATAGTTTCTGAAAACCAAAAAATAAAACAATTTTAAACAGAATCATACACAGGGATTTAGGATTATGACAATGTGGGCTGAGGGAAAACAGAGGGATAGGATTGGGGTGTGTGTAGATGCATGGCTGATGTTAGTTATTGTCATATTTACCAGTTGGTTTAAAGAAAATACATGTAAACCTGGACTTGAACATATGGGAAAATCCTGTTTTCCAGAACTTTTATTACAATTTTTAAGATTTCCTAATGAAGCTGACATTCATGAACATATATGTTAAGATTATACTACACTAGGGGCTGGGGATTTAGCTCAGCGGCACAGTGCCTGCCTGGCAAGTGCAAGGTCATGAGTTCGATTCCTGTTACCAGAAAAAAACCAAACCAAAAGAAAAAAAAAAAGATTATACTGCACTAATTTAAGATCATACTGTATGTCCCAAAGCAGAAGGTGGTGAAGTCCCAATGACTAACACTGTTCCTTTCTTAAAAAGTATCATCCTTTGGTGGGAAAATATGAGAAAGTTTGAGCAAAGAATATTTTTATGTAAATAAAATCATAATTTTTATTAAAAGGCTGATATCACTTAATTCACAAAGCAGTGTTCACAAGTTTCAAATTTCCTAAAAGCCACGTTATTTTTAAGTCACTAGTTGTTCATGGAGTTATCTCTGATCCCTTCCTCTCTCTTACTTGCTGTATCCAGTCCTTCACAACTTAATGCTGATCCTATCACCTTAATATTATTGTAATTTCTTTTTTTTCTTCAATTTTTTTTTTTTTTTTTTTTTTTTTGATACTGGGAATCAACTTCAGAACCTTGCGCTTCCCAGGCAGGCACTTGTGCCACTGAGCTTTATCCCTGACCCTTTCCTTCAGTTTTTTTGAGGCAGAGTCTCACTATGTAGTCCAGGCTGGGCTTGAACTCACTATGTAGGCCAGGCTAGTTTTCAAACTTGCAGTGATCCTCCTGCCTCAATCTCCCATGTGCACCATTACAAGTGAGCACCACCACACCTGTTTTTTTTAATTTAATTTAATTTTATTTATTATTAGCTTCATAATAATCCCAGGGCCTTGTCATTTCTTCCACTCAAAATGTCTATAATTTGATAAGTTCCTGCTTTTGCTAAGACATGGCAATCTTTGTCAAAGTGCTTTCTTAAAATCAAGATGATTCCAGTGATTTTACTGCTCATCTTTATCTCTTATGCATGTATTTGATTAATTTAACATATATTCTCATAATTCCTATGGTAAATAAAATTAAAGATGACAAAAGAGCCACCTTTAATTTTATTTACCATAGGAACTGAGATACTCTTCATATATGATCAAATTAAGAGTCTGCAATTTCTCATTTGTTTCAATTACTCTAAACAGTCACTTCAAATAGTTGTTATAATATCAACTTCAAGTCTTACCAACTTTC